GGCGCCGCATCCCGCTCCTCCCCCTTGCTTTTACCCGTGCTCATTTATAACGACCGACGGAGGTGGGATGGGGGGGAAGCTGAGAGGCAAGGGGATGGTCCCCCTGCCCAGGGACGTTTTCCAAGGGGAAGGCAGGGAGATGCCCCCCGACCCCCGGTGCTGTGCCCTGCCCTCGCCCCCAGCCCCGCGCGGGGCAGCTCGTGGTGCTCCCCCCGGCCACAGGACGTGGCCCTTCGGGGGTTATTTAAAAATAAAGAGAAAATCCGCGGGGGTGAATGCAAACAGGGGAAAGGGATCGATGGGGATGGGGTCCCGTGTGCCATCGTGGGAGCCGAGGGCAGCCTCAGTGGTGGCTGGGTGCTGCAGCCGCTGGGGTGGGTGAGGAAATGTGGGGTTTCTTTGGGGAAAAAAAACAAAGGTTTGCTTGAAAAGCCCTCTTCTCTCTCCTGCACCTGCCTGGGTGCGGGCAGCGTGCCGGGGGCGCCGAGCTCAGCCCCCACAGCCTTCCCCTCCCCCAGCACTGCGCTGCTCCTGCACCCAGCCCAGCCCCCCCTACCCCCATGTTTGACCTCGGGCACGTGTTGAGCCCCAGATTCCATTTTCCCAAGAGAAACCAAAATCGCTTCTTCCGACCCCCCCCACTCCCCCTCCCAGGAGGGCCGGGCAGCGCACGGGGGCGAGGGCAGGACTGAAGGATTGTACATTATTTATTACAAAATATACGGTTGTGTTTACACCCGAGTGGCTGCTGGGATTCCTTTGGGGGGTGCCCAGAGCTGGGGGGCAAAACGGAGAGCGTGGACATCCCCGGCACCCCCCTCCCCGCCGTGCCCAAAATGGGCCGGGGGTCCCATCCCATCTCTGTCCCCAAGTAGGGTTGGCCCCGCGTCTCCCCGCACCATAGCAGCACGGCGGCTGCTGTTTGCCTTGGTAAGCAAAGCAGCTTTGCAGGCTGCTGGCGGCCTCGCAGCGCGGGGGGGCGGGGAGGAACCGACCGGCCCCACAGCCGGGGGACGTGGCAGCCCCGTCTCCACAGCACCCGGCCACGATGTGCCGGGGAATCGCTGGCACGGGGTCAGGCGGCGTGCAGGATGCGGCGGGGGGGGGGTGTGGATCGTGCGGGTGTCCCCCAGCACGTGGACCCCTTGGCGGACAGCAGCCCCGCGCCCCCCGCCCCGCCCGGGGGATGCTGTAATGGAACAGCTTCTTCCGCGGGGCCAAAACATCCCCTCCTGCTCTCGGGACAATGTTTCCCTTTTAAAACACGCTTTGGCCCCGCAGAAGCATTTTTTCCTCCTGCCGCTGGATGCTACCGCTGGCGAGATCAAAGGGGACGGAGCACCCGGGGGGACGTGGGGAGGGGGGGAGGTTGCTGTGCCAAAACCACCCCTGGGCGCTTCGGCAGCCAAAACCCGGCCCCGCCGCTCCCCCCGGAGGGGAAATGCCGCGGACGCGTCGGATGCTGCTGAGGGGGGAGCGCTCCGACCCCGCGTTCTTCCCCTTAACCGCCGAGATGTGAACCCCGTCCCCTGCACTGCCCACCCCGGGGGGGCTTTCAGCGCCACGTCCCCTCAGCCAGATGGGGGGGAGATGGGAGTTGCCGCTGTGGGATGCGGACGAAGCGCCTGCGGGTGGGTTTGCTCTCCGCCGTCTGCTCTGCTCGGTCGGGGGGCCGAAGGAAAGCGCTCCCGCTGCGATTTCTGACGAAAGGGGATGAAAAACGGCAAAAGAAAAAAAAGATGCTTGGTGGCTCGTGGCGATTCCATCAGCAGGTCCGAGCCTGAAGGCTGCGGGACAAACGTCCTCCTGCGAGCGGGGGCTGCGGGGGCTCCTGAATGCTCCTCCGCACCACCTGCGCTGCTCCATTCCCCGCACCGCTCCCGAGCTCCTCCCGGCTCTGCGGATCGGGAGGGGGCCGAGGGGAGACGCTCGGGGCTTCCCCCCCACCGTCATAGAGGGCCGGGCACGGGAGGTCCGTGCTGGGTGTGCGGCCCAACCCCGCGTTCCCGTGGGCTGGAATCCCGCCCGGTGTCAGGGCCGGGCTGGGGGCTGCGGCCAAACCCTCCCGGGATCCCTTCGTGCCCTCACACCCGGCTGCACCCGCACCGCACCCTCTGCCCACCCCGGGGCTACCAAAATAACCCCCCCCCCCCCCCCCCCCCCGCCCTTCCCGATGCAGAACGCATCGCTGCGGTGTGAAGCAGAGAGCAGCTGAGGACCACCGCTGCAGCATGGAGCCGTTCTGGGCCTCCTGAGCAGAGAGCACGCAGCCAAAACCACCGGGGGGCGCCGGGGTCTTGGGGGGTGGGCAGGCTGCATCCACTGATGGAGAGGGACCGGGCGGGGGGGGCTTTTGGGGGGGGGCTTTGCTGCACAGCAATGGTTTTGGAGTCAGAAGTGCCCTATTGTTGGGAGGATGGGGATGGAGGGGATGTGGCACAGAGCCGCTCTTGTCTGGGGGACGCCGGTGCTGCTCAGCCCCCCACCCCGCCGGGTGCAGCACCCATGGGTGCCCCCCCAAGCACGTCCCGGTGCTGGCAGTGAGCAGAGGTTGTGCTGAGCAGAGCCGTGGGCTGGAATGCGACTTGGGAAGCGGCTCTCTCGCTTCTGGGTTTGGTGGTTTTTCTTTCTTTCTTTCTTCCCCCCCCCCCCCCCCCCCTTTCTTTTAAATAATGGAAAATATAATGAGAGCGCCTAAACTGAAATAACAAAAGGCGGCGGCCAAAACTCCAGCCCGAAATAGGAGAGAAAGCCACGTTCCAGGCTGCGAGGGAACACACAGGCAAGGGATGAAAGCAGCAGGGAACAGCAGACGCTGTACGCTGCGCTCGGCCCCTCGCTGCTCCCGGGGGGGGCGCAGCTCCTTGCGTCCCCTCCTCCCCCCACGCTGCACTCTTTGCAGCCCCAAATGATCCCAGCAGCTCCTCTCCCTGCGCCACACTCGGTCCTTATGGGGGTGATGACCCTTGTGGGGGGGGGCACAGAGGGCTCTCCTGCCTCGCAGCTCAGCATCCATCGGGGGGGGGGGGTGTCAATATGGGACACGGGAGGTGCCAGCTCCGTCCCCACCCGTGGCAGCTCCTGCTGCAGAATTCCTGTCCGTCTGGCCAAGAGACGCGGCGTTGCCGGAGCAGGAGGAAAACACGCGGTGAGCAGCGGGGAGGGCAGCCCTCGTGGCCCATCCATAAAGTCGGGCACGGCCACAGCCCCCCGTGCCCCCCGGTACATCGACCCCGGGTTTGGGTGAAAAGCAAGGGGGGATCGCGATCCAAAACGTGGCCGTGAATGCAAGGCGAGAAAACCTTGGATTGATCCCGACCTGAAACGCATCCCCACCCCCAGAACGGCCCTCTGGGGCCGCATTCTGCCTGCAGTCACTTTTCAGACCGGTGTGAGGCGTTATGCCCCCATCTCCCACTGCTCCCTACGGGCCGCTGCTGGAAAACACATCCATCCCCATTCTTGGGCTATTTTTGAAACCTTTGGCCTCCGCTCACCTTCAGGATCCCATAAATAACAGCGGCATCGCATTGAGGGCCCTTGTGCCGACAGCTCAGCGCTCTGCCAGAGCCCTTCGCTCCTCCAGATGGCAGAAATCTGACTCAGAGCTCAAAGTTTGGTACATAGTTGTGTGTTTTTCATCTCAGTGCCACGGTTTGGCTTTTTTTTTCTCTCTTTTTTTTTTTTTCTTTTTCTTTTTTCAGTTGTTTTGGTGTTTTTCTCAGATGAACCAGAGGCATTAAAAACATGAACTGAGGGTTGCGGGAAGGGGGGGGGGGGGTCGGAGGCAGAGCATCCATAGGGCTGCTGGCTGCCAATGGAAGGGCACTGAGAGGCGACTCACGTCCCTCCACCACCCCACGTGGAGTCCAACTGTTGGCCCATCACCGCCACGGCCATTAACCCACGTCCCAAAATCCCACATCCCTTCTCCCATATCCAGGATCTCACAGCCACCGCCTCACAATCCGCACCGCGCATCCCGTAGCCCCCATCCTCACACCCCCCCGTGGTTTATCTGCATCCCACACGGCACATCTCACACTCTCTGCCCCTCATCCCATACCCAATAACCCGTGGTAGCATAAATGCCATAGCACAGCTTGAAGCAGTGATGGAGCACCTGGTCGGAAGGCAGGGCCAGCCCAGGGGAGCGCAGGTGCACGCAATTCAATGCAATCCAGTGCACCTGAGTGACCAGAAAGGGTGGAACCAGGATCCACCCCTTCCCAGCCCTCATTTATGGGTTGGCAGTGAAGGTGAGGAGTTCTTCCTGCATGCCTGAGGCCTTCTGAAGGTAAGCAGCCTTTTTTCCTTTATTTCTGTGCTCAGGGTTGTTGCATCTGAGCAAGCCCTCACTTGGTGGGGTCTGGGACCTCCCTGCTTTGCTGTCATTGCTCTGCCTTCCATTGCATTATGGCATTACTCCCATATCCAACATCCCATAGTGCCCATCCTCACCCCACATCTAACGTCTCCCATCCTATAGCCCAGATCCAACCACCCAACATGGCACATCTACATCCCACGGGGCAGATCCCATATCCAGCATCCCTTATCCCACACCCGTATCCACCATCCAACCCTGAGCAGCCAACACCCCCATTGCCCCACATCTTAATTGCTCCATGCCCTGATTACTCAGCTACCCATAGCCCTATTCCAGCACACCCCATACCTCAAGGAACCCACATGGCTTTTTCAAACCCCAAAAGCTGCACATCAGATTTCTCCTCATCCCTCTGTCCTCTTCCCCTTGGGAATGCTCTGCCCCACTCCCACTCTCAGGGACTCCCTGCAGCTCTCAGCTCTGCCTCCAACCCCAAGGACGTGGAGGTGGAACAGCCCCAGACAGGGAACAGGTCAGCACTATGGGATGAGCCAATGCCATCCAGTCCTGCTGTCCCTGGGAAGGACACTGACCTCCCCCTCGTCCCCCACCGCCCCCCCTGCTGCTGCCCTTGAACCAATTGCGTGGTTTGCTGGGAAAATACCATTATCTGAGAAACAAAACTAACAGAGTTTGGGTTCAGCTCACAGCTTCTCTGGGTGAGAAACCCTCCCAGCCCGGTGCAGGGAGCAATGGCTGTGCAGGGAAGTATGTTGGACTACAGTGAAAACTGCCACCCTAAACCCAGGCGAGACTGGAAGGTCTATGGGCTGGTGGTCGCGCTGCTGGCTGTGGTGCTGCTGGCTGCAGCCCTGCCCTCCTATATGTGGCTGGTGGCCACCAAACCCGAGCAAGAAACAGGGCTGGGGATGGGAACAGGGAAGGTGGCCGGTTTGGAGGGGCTGACACGGCTGCTGGGGATGCAGCAGCAGCTGCGGGTGCAGGTGGCTGCATTGGAGCAAGCGTTGCTTGCCACCAACCAGACTCTCACCACCATGGTGGATATCACCAACCCGTCCCTCGCTGAGATGCTCAAGAAGTGGGATGACTGCAGGAGTCAATTGGTGAGTGTGGGGTGCGGGACGGGGACCCCTGGGTGTGGGGTTTGCTGAGCTGTGTCCTGTCCCTGTGCTCAGGATAACATGCAGAAGTTCGTCATGGAGTTGGGGCAGCAGATCTCCCAGCTGCAGCAGCATAAGGAGAAGCAGGAGGCTGTGATCAAGCAACTGCAAGGTGAGCACTGGGGCACCGTCCGTGACACCTGGGCACAGTGGGCCTTCTTGGCACCATGCACCCCATCCATGGGTCACCCTGACCCCCATCACCTCCTGCAGAGGACAGCAGGGCGCTCCAGGAGGAGGGGGCACAGCAGAAGGCGCAGTTGGAGGAGGTGCAGAAGCACAGGTGAGATCTGTGCTCCCCCACTGCGACCCCATCCCTGCGCTCTGTCGCTGATCCCTGTTGTCCCCCGAGGAGCAGCTTGCAGGAGCAGATCCAGGAGCAGATCTACAGGCTGTCAGCACAGATCTGGGACTTATGGAGCAGCAGTTCCAGTGGGAGCACAGCGATGCCCTCCGGTGCAGCCATGGCCCTGAGCCTCTTTGTGACGCTGCTCACTGCAAAGTGGCTGCACTGAGCACAGCGACACAGACCCGGGTGGCCCCTGTCGGTGTGTGGGGCCATGGAGAAACCAGGGGGAGATGGTTTGCCAACTGCTGGCCAAGGGGTGAGATGGGACAAGGCACATTTGGGGGGACAGCGGTGCCACACGGTTCGGTGGGTCTAAGCCGATTTCCAGTAAAACTTCATGCAAATCCAAAGCGTTCTGCTGCTCCAGTGTCCTTTGGGGTGGCAGACAGCACAGCCCCGCAGCCTGGCTTTGTCCAGGGGCTGAGCATCCTCCCACGCACAACACAAACCACGCCACCATGGGCTGTGACCGGAGAGAAACCACCGCCTGGAGCAGCAGGGCACATTGTGGGCACTGTCCCACGTCCCCAGCATGGACCCTGCAGTGCCCAGAGCCACGCTGAAGGCAATGGGGCTGTGCACGCTGCTGGTGCTGCTGGTGGCGGCGGTGACGGCGGCGGTGGCGGTGCTGCTGTGGCGCTCAGAGGCACTGGGGAAGCTGCGGGGCTGCCAGGAGCGGGCGGCCAACGAGAGCCGTGCGCTGGAACTGCGAGTGGCACAGCTGGAGATGGAGCTCGACCGACTGCAGCACGTGGCTGATGAGAGACGGAGGGAGGAGGATGCGCTGCGCCGGGAGCTCAGCCGAGTGCGCAAGGATGGAGAGAAGCTCAGCTCCAGCCTGCGGTCCTGCCGGGTGCAGGCGGTAGGTGTGTGGGGTCCCTGGGCATTGTTTCCCTGCTGTGGGGTTGTGTACTTGAGGAGAGCGATGCTGGGCTGCAAAAGGGTCCGTGAGGATGCTCTGTTTCCAGGGTGGTTTGGTTGCCGGGGAGCCTCAGCCCCCACTGGGGTATGGAAAGCTGCTGTCCGGTTCCCTGTGCCCAGCTTGGGATGGCTATTCTTAGCAGTGCCCAAACTGAGCTGCTGCACACACGTATAATTACTGCATCCCAAAGCAGCAGTGGAGGCTGCAGGCTGGTGTGGAGCTCCTCTCCTTGGGGGTATTTTTAGCTGCTGGGAAAGGGCTCGGCCCTGCGCTGCGGCCAGAGGAAGAGGGGCCCACCTCTCCCCCCCATCCGGCCGGACAATGGCCCAGAGGGGCTGGAAACGTTCTGGCGTTCGGGGCTGGCGCCGACTGCGGGGTCCCAGCGGGATCTGCTGGTGTCCAGCAGGAGCGCCTGGCCCCTCGAGGAGCGCATGGCTGGGCAGGGGGCTCTGCAGTGCCTCAGTGAGTTGCAAACCCTCTGTGTCTCCATGTGCGTCCTCACCAAGACCAGGCACCAGCCGGCCCTTCACTGTGATTTTTTCCCCCAAATCCATGCCCTAAACCCTTGGAGAAACCTTCCCCGTGTGATAACGGGACACAAAGTCAAGAACACAGGGACGGCTCTGGGGACACCAGGGAGGATGACAGCGAGCCAGGAGCAGGCTGTGCCCCATCTCCATGCCACGGTGTCCCCAGGCCAAGCTGGAAGCCAACATCACGGCGCTGCAGGATGAGGTGCAGGGGCTGCGGCGTGACAGGGCTGAGCTGTCCCGCAGGAACACAGCACAGCAAGGTGCGTCTGTCCACCCAGCCCCAAACCCCAAACCCACACGGGTGTCACCCTGCCGTGCACCCAGCTCAGGGCGTCCCTTCGCCCTGCAGAGGAGCTGGCTCAGGGCGCAGAGCTGGCGCTGGGGCTGCAGCAGAGACTGGAGGAGATGGCGGAGCAGCAGAGAGCGCTGAGGGCACACAGGGAGCGATGCGAGGAGCGGCAGCGGGAGCTCGAGGCCACGCTGTGAGGATCCCAGCCCCAGGGTTGCCTCCATCCCCATCCCAACCCTGGGTTCATTAATGACCTGACCCTGCTGTGCTCTGCCTGCAGGAAGGATCGTGCAGCTGAGCTGGACGCGCTGCGGCGGCGCTTGGGGCCCCGCACGGCACGGTGCAGGTGCTCCCCTTCCCGGTACATCCAGTGGGTGCTGCTCTGCCTTTCAGCCCTGTGCCTTTTGGGAGCGGGCACCCTGTGGTGGGGGCTCGTCTGGCACAGCGTGGCTGCATGATTCCCATTGCACCCCTTTGTTGCTGTGTCACTGCGGGGTCTCACTCTGTGCTGTCCGCTCCTTCTTGCAGGAAGAGCTGAAGCCCCATAGCACCCTCCTGTCCAGCCCCTCTTTGCCAGCATGGACACCACGCACGGGATGGCACCAGCCCTACAGCAGCAGGAACCGGGGCTGCCCATTTCTCCCAATCCCACCAGCACTAAAAACAGCAGCAGCTCATCCCCTCTGAACTCAGCAGAGCGGAGTGGGCACAGCACCAATGATCCTCCCCACGTCCCCTCGTGTCGTCCCCCCCCCCCCCCCCCCACGACACACTGAGCAGCTTTGGGTGCTGTTTGCTTGCTGGGGCCAAACGATGGTGACCAGTCCTTGCCCTGAGGCCAGCCAGAGCCGTTCATTAATCATTAATTCTGTTCATCTACTGATTAAACAGGAATAGTGCTCCATGAAGTTCAACCCCTTTCTGCTCAACGTAATTTGGCCAGCTCAGTGCTTAGGGGGCACTGTGCAGGTTACCAACACTGGGCTCTGCTGGCTGTGGGGCTGAGCCACTTGTGGGGGTGGGGGAGGGATGAGCCACTGATTCCCAGCTCTTCCCTGTTCCTTTGATCCACACGAAAGACAGTTTCCAGGAAAGTTGCTGCCGATTTTCCTGCCGCTGCCACAGCGGTATCCTGTGCAGAGGGCAGGGTGAGAACAGGCATCCGGCCCCCCTGCCCCACAGGGGGGGATCACCTCCACCGCCCCCAACGCATGGAGGGCACGGAGGGGCTGCAGGAAGGGGTTCACAGCCCCAAATCCGGCGGTGCCCCCCACCCAGCCGTGCATCGGGGTGGGCAGGACCCGTTCCTATGGTCCAACCTCAAGGCAGCCCCAGCCCTTGGCACAGGAAGGATTAATTATAGCCGGGACGCCGTCTGGAAAATGGGACAAAGAGGCAGAGAGTGTGTGGGAGGGGGCTGAGATGGTGAGGGGGGGGGGAGGGGTCCCGTGGGGATGCCTGAGCACCTCGATGGATGCAGAGCGCTGCTGAGGATCGGCTGACGGTGAGGTGCGTCCCATTGGGTGAACGGTGCCGTCGGTGACACGGGAGGCTCTGGGACCAGAAGTGAGGTCGGGGTCCAGCAGAGCCCAGACGGTGCCCCCAGAGTGGGGCCGGGGGGGAGCGGGGGGTGACTCACTGTTATTTGCAGCTCAGGAAGGAAATGTGGTAGCTGAGAATGGATGGGGGACCGACACCGTCCCCAGCGCCGCAGACACCGGCGGGCTCCAGGGAGCGTGAGGGCAGGAAGCAGCGGGGTCAGCGCTGGCACCTCGCAGCCCCTGACCTCCCCCCCCCGGGCTGGGAATGCTGCAGTGCTGCTGGGGAAGGGCAGCAGAAATGTGGGGAATGGGTCCTGAATGTCCCCTGTGCGGGCGCTGTGTGCCCTCAGGGCTCACAGCTCTGCGGTGTCACTCAGAAGAGAGAAAAGGAAATGTGTACAGCGATGTCCAGCTGCGATTTATCAAAGATTCATCAGAAATAAGGGAGTGACTTGGTGAGATTTGGGATGGCGATGAGCACGAGGCAGCGCTGCAGGCGCAGCAGCGGAACCTGATGGGGGTGGGGGTTGAGTCCCCTCAGTGGGGATCTCAGGGCACTCAGCCCAGCTCGGCCCCCCCTGCTCAGAGGGGCCTGTTGTGCTCCCCCCCCCCCCCCTCCGGTGATTTCCCCAGCAGGGCATAAGGCATGGGAACACTGCAGCACCCATGGGTGCCCCCCCCACCCCCCCAAGATCTCCAGGTCGCAATGATGACGTGAGCCCTGGGTGGTGTGGGAGGAGGGGTCTGTCTTCATCACCCTCCCAATGCACCCCCGTTGCCCACTGCCCCCCAGGGCTGCACGACAGCCATTCCCTTGCGTGCCGGGCAGTGCTGGCAGTGGGGTCCCAGGGGAGATGTGATCCCCATCAGCAGCGGGGAGGGTTGGGGAGGGGGGGGAACGGCTGAGCTGTGCCCCCGTCCTATAGCAACGGGGAACAATGGCCCTGCAGCAAACAGAAGCTGCACCGTGATAACCCGGAGGCATCCGGAGAGGCAGGAAGGAGCCCAGCAAAAGGAAATATTAAATAGAGCAATATAAACACGGCTGGGGAGCCGGCTCCACCCCGACCCCGTAGAAAGGGACAGCCCTGGGGTGCGGCGAGCAGAGCGCGGGCAGCATGGAGAAGAGCGGCTACGGCATGGCCAAGTTCGGGCTGGAGAGCAAACAGGTGATGCCCAAAAGGGACTGCGCCTTCTACATGCGCTACGTCTTCCTCTTCACCTCCCTCATCCAGTTCCTCATCATCCTGGGGTTGGTGCTCTTCATGGTGTACGGCAACGCGCACGCCGGCACCGATAAGCACGTCCAGCTGCTGGATGGGCAGCTGCAGGAGCACTACCATAAAATCATCACCCTGAGCGGCCGGAACGCCAACCTGACACGCACCCTGAACGCCACGCTGAAGGCCAACCAAGGGCTGCAGGGGCAGCTGCAGAAGGTGCAGGGGCAGCTGGAGAAGTGCAACAGCAGCCAGGCCCCCAACAGCACCCCCAGGGTGAGAGCTGGGGGGAAGCGCTGGCCTGGAGCCCATAGGGGTGGGTGAGGGGTGTGGGGTGTGGACCCCCTGCTCAGAAACTTGAAGGGATGGGTGAGGACCCTCTGCCTGAGACCCCAGAGATGGGTGAGGGGTGTGGGGACCCCCAATCCCCGGACACAGCCATCCCCAGGGGTCCCCACCTCTTTGGCTGTGCTGGAGGAGCTCCTGGCGCTGCCGTGAGGTGATGGTGGTGGGGGCCAAGCCGACCCCATCCCCTCAACACCCCCCTGCTTTTCCCTCAGCTGGAGGAGATGAGCAGGACCATCTTCATCCAAAAAACTTACTTGGAGAAGTGCTACATGGCCATCAACATCATCAACACCAGCTGCACCGGTAAGGGGGAACCCCAACCTTGGCATCCCCTTCCTGAGGACCCACAAATCCCCCACTGCCTCAAAGTCCGTGCACGGGGGTCCCCAGTAACCCTCAGGGAGCTCAGACACAGCCTACCCCCGGGCTGGGCAGTGCCACGAGGGGACCATCAGGGCGATGGGTGGGGGTCCCACGGCACAACCCCAACCCTCCAC